AGCTCACTTCCAGGTTTGGGGGCATCTCTCTTATTTCAGGCAAGACAATACAGTGTTAAGTTTCAGATTCAGTGGCTCTCAAAAATGATGTTACAAGGTTTGTAACTGAAGTATAAGAAGTTAGGAATTTTTTAAAAATAAAACTTAAATTGGCTTCAAAATTACTTTTTAAAGTAGTATCATTACAGTCAGCTGCATTAGGACATCTTTCTTGAAGCTGGAGGGGAGAGGCAGCATACTTTCTATACTGAAAATGGTTTATTAACATTTGGCAAAAGTCTATAAAACTCTCTTGACCTGGTCCGACACCCGCCCTGTCCCAAAATCTTATATTGACCCATAATACCCAAAGTCATAGTATTAAGGTTTGGGAGTCTTTGGGGGATGATCAAGTTGTGAGACTGGAACTCTCATGAATAGGGTTAATGTATTTGTTAAGTAGTCTTGAGGAAGCTTGTTCATCACCCCTTCAACCATGTGAAAACATAGCAAAAAGGCACCATTAAGGAACTGGAGAGCAAGCACTTTGTGAATTTTCTGTTGCCTTGATCTTGGGCATTTACAACTTTAAGCAGTAAGCTTCTTTTTTGGGGGCATGACTCAAGTTGTAGAGCTTTGACTGGCAAGTTTGAGACCCTAAGTTCAATCCCCCAGTATAGCCAAAAAACAAATAAACTGACTAGCCAAACAAACAAGGAGCTTCTTTGTTTATAAATTTTCCAGTCTAAAATATTTTAACTGTCCTAGTGACCTAAGATGGTCTAACACATGGGAACACATTTCAAGTCTGTGCATTATAATGGAAAAGAACCTGAGAAAAGTGACATTCTGCAGGCCTTAATTTGCTTTCAAACACAAGGACAAGTTATGTATGTCTGCTTTGGTAAGAGCCCTCTAATCAAGAGTCAGAATAATCTTCAGGATTATTGGACAAGAATTCCTTTTTGGAAGAAATCTTACTATTGTAGACCTAATTTGCTCATTATTTTATTTCAATTTGAAAACAGAAGTGTGGAAAATTTCAAATTAAAGGCCATTGTTATGTGTAAAGTATGTGATTAATTATTAAATTAAAACATTAAGTTATTAAATTCAATTATTATTTTAAAGAAGTGACTAAAAGCACTTACTCATGTGTACCCTTGATAGGCATGGACAGTCTGCCAAAGGAAAATTTAGAGGAAAAAAGAAAAGAAAAAAGAAGACCATTTATATTGCATATATTCTATTCATTAAAAGTGTTAAGGATGTAGGTATAGTTTGGGTGGTAGAAAACATGCTTAGCATGTGCACAGGCCCTGGGTTCAATCCTCAGTATTGGGACAAAAAAGAAGAGTGTATACTAACAGCAGAGTCTAGGTTGCAAAATTATTCTGTTGGTGCATTAGGATTTTTTTATTTCTGATAGAAAAATGAAGATGTGCCATACACAATTATTACTGTTTGGGTTGAAATGGCCTGATTTAGTTCCTTGAACTGCCTTCAAAACCATCTAGAGAAAGATTTCAATTTATTGGTATGTTGAGATAGGTTTAGGTTGTGCCAATTTTTCTGATGGGTTTGATTGAACTATGTAGTCTATAATTGACTAAAATTACTACTGATAGTGAACTAAATTTAAGTTCTTAAATTACAGATGTAGAACAATCTTCATTTGTTAAACAAAGCACATTTTATTTTCTAAAGTAATATGGGACCAAAGTCAAGAATGCAATGAAATCTAGAAAGATTTTTCCAGATTTTCAGGACCTTCTATATTACATTATTTTTGCAAACTGAAAGCTATCTATTTCTAAGAACACGGTGTCTGAATTTAGAATATAATAGCTCAAGTATAAGAAACATTTTGCCATACAACAAATAAAAAGTATTTTAGGCTTTGAAGAACCCATAGTTTTTGTTGTAGTTATATTACTCATAGTATGAAATCAACCATATGTAAACAAATATGTGTGGCTGTGTTCCAATAAAACTATATTCATGGACATCAAAATCTGAATTTCATATAATCTTTTATGTCATGAGATATTATTCTATTTTTAAATCACTCAAAATTCATCTTACCTTTCCTGTCAAACAAACATAGGCAGTAGGCTGGATTTGTTGATCCCTGCTTTAGAAAATGAGTGAATTGTGAACTTCAAGACACATTAAGAATGTCAGTGAATAATTTACCGATGTTCAAGAGTTGAACACAACATTATCTATGTACTATATATAGCAAAATATAAAAGTTTATCCCATGCTTAATAAGGAGAAAACAACTGGATCCATTTAGACTGTGTGTGTGCCATTCAACAAAACTGGGACTCTTCAAAAAGTCAAAGCTGTGAAAGACCAAAGAAAGAAAAACAAAAGGCATGAGAAATGTTCAAGCATCAGAAAATATAAAAAAATAAAACCAATAGGCGGTCTTTGTTTGGAGTCTGTATTAAAACTAAAACAACTAAAAGAAGTATTTGGGTATTTATTAAATCTTAATATGGATTACCAGATGATACAGTCATATCAATGTTAGATTTCTTGAGTATGAAGATGGTATTATATACTTGTAGAAAATCATTTCTGCCTTTTTGCTCATAGGATTCAATCAAACAGAAAATTTGTATGTGTGTGGAGGAAGGAAGAGAGAAAGGAGCAAAGAAGAGACACGAGAGAAAAAGGAAGGGAAGAAAAGGGAGAGGAGGAAGTAAATATATCCAAATATTAACAATAACTAAGTCTGCATAATGATTATGTGAATGTCCTTCTACTATTCTTTTGGCTTGTAAAAAAAGCCAAATTTTCATACCTGTAGAAATGTCTAAAATTTTCAAAATAAGAATTAGGAAAATTACATATAATAGTGATAGCTGTAAATTTACTTGGTTAAAATTATATTTGAAATGTAAGAATTGTATGGTGTTTAAAAAAATCAGTTATGCCTTAAAATTCTAAAATAATTCCAACTTCATTTGGTAATTAAAGCAATTTTATCTGTAAGAAACAGCTGGATCATTTCCCTCTGCTTTGATATTCTCAACTATTTCGTCCCCAGGAATTATATAGAATGGATAAAATGTAAGCTGGATGAAACAAACACAACAAACTAATTAAACCCAGGTTTTCAATAGCCCTAACTCCAAATTGTTTGTTTGTACAAAATGCATATTTATTCAGTAACCAGAAACCTGAAAAAATTTCAGTTATTATACCCTTCACTTCACTTCTAGTAGTCAGATCCAGATAATCTGGCAGACTTCTTCGCTCATCATGTTTTTGAAAACAGAGAAACTAGACAAGAAAAAAGTGCGTGTGTCATCATTTAATTTGGAGAAAACTCAGAATCGCTCTGTTCAATGACATGACAAGCACTTGAAGAAAACCTGTAAACCTTTGGAGCTAGAGACCATGTTTCAGTTGACTTGGTTCATCTGTTGTTACACCTAGTGCCTCGTACAGCCACTCAAAAGTGAATGAGTGAATCAATGAAACATAAATGGAAAGAGACACAGTGTAGATTTGGATTCACTATAAGGAAATGATTCAAATGACTCCAGAATTGAACCTGGACCACTGAATGAAGTCATGGATTCTTATTTATTTGCTTATTTATTTATTTATTGAAATTTACAATAATAGAATAAACATATATCTTGAATATAGAAGACTTATCACTTAAATGTGCAGATACTTTCTACATGTATAATGATGAAGACAGTGCCTCGGTTTTAAGGATTCTGTCTATTAACATTCAGTCAAGTTGAAATGAATCTGAAAGTCATGGCAGATGAAAGGCAGGAAGAATGGTTGGGAAAGGATGAATAACTGGCCTCAATTGCCTTCAGGGTTGCCATGAAAAACAGTAAAAACATTCTGAGCTGCTCCATAAGACAGAATTAGGACTAGCAACTAAAACCAGAAGGTGGGCTAGGGAGTTACCTGTGCATTTTAGCAACTTATGAAAGAATATTCTAACAAAGAGACATGCCCAGCAGTCGAATGGTTTGCTTTAATAGATAACAAACCATTGTTCCAGGAAGTGTGCAGGCAATGTTGGTGTAACTGGTGTTGAGGGAACTGGGGAGGTAATATCAGCATGCAGTGTGAGATTGAGACTATTCCACCTCTTCTAACTGGAAATGGCATTGCTCAATAAGCCTGGAAGTCAAGATAAAATTCTGGTGTCAACATTAAGTAGATAGTTAAAAAATACGTTCAACACATCAAGGTCTTCTATGAGTTTATAATAGGTAAATAGAACAACATAATCAAATTAATTCTTTGAATGTTTTACCAACAGATAAACATTTGACATTAATAAATACCTAAGAAAAATGGAGGTTGTTTCAGTGTGTAAAATAATACCATATTCAAACAGAGGTACAAAATACTCTTAGGACTTTTTCTTTCTCCACATCCCTGGGCCAATATACTGTATATTCTACTACTGTCTCATCCTAGTTTATTTTCTATGGCTGCCTCCTAACTAGACAATTACCTCTTATTTCTCCCCACAGTGATTCTCGTGAACACTTTTTGAACACTGCAAAGAAAACACCTTTAGAAGAAATCAATAACTATTCAAAAGCCTATAATGGGCCACTGTTTAAGAAATTTATATATGGAAAAGATTATAAGGGGCACAAAATATAAAGTGATAAAAGTGGTAGAATTACAAACAAGCAGTGTTTAAGTGTTCTAATTACAAAACAAAATCAGGTGCAAAACAAACACTGTTCAAAATTCCTACTACCTAGTGTACTCCATACAAAAGCTCCAACTTAACTTTCAAAAATTCCCTCCACTAAATCCTTCTAATTGGCCTTTTCTCCTATTATCCCTGCAATAAAACTCCACTAATATTCTATTGGCTAACTTTCTGCTCTCTCCTAACCCTTTTTCTTCTTCTTGTCCCTCACTGCTGCTTCTTTCATACTTCTCACGGTAGTGTCTCTCTTCCTCATTGTAGGTCACCTGCTGCGTGTGTTTTGGTATTCACAGTGTCCTTAATGTACATAAGCCTCCAGGGCAGGACCTTTGTCTTTTCACCATTTCATTCCTTGAACCCAGTGCAGTGTCTTGCAGATAAGGAATGATAATGAACTATCTGCTGAATGAATGATTGTCATTTTTGTGACATGTGAAACCATAACACTCTTTCCCCTTTTGATATCTTATCATTGATTATATGTTACAGGTGGTTTTATACAGCATATGTCTTTCTTGTCATGTAGATGTTTTAATGTAAGTCTCTCCAAGTGAAGAGATAGATATGTCATCCATGTTTCCTAATTCAATATTTCCATTCAGCACATTACTATAAAATACCTACTGTGTGAGGCACTTTAGTAGGAATTATAAGTTTACAACTACATTTAACAAGACTCAGTAGAGATCAAATGAAATATTTCTTTGCTGCTTTCTTTTACACAAGATAAATATACTTGAAATCTATAATTTAAATAAAAATAATAGATTACTTTTTCTATACTTTTCTACCATCTTTCTAAAAAACCCATCCAAAGCAATTGTTTAAATAAATAAAGACACACAAGAGTATCCTGAAATCCCACATCAATTAACTCTTAATAATAAAAAGAAATAAAATATATACTATGAATTTTATTGGTTAGAGGAACTGGCCTTTAATTACTTGCTATTTCAAAATGAGTGGCCAGAAAGATTTTAAGAAGGCTTAAAAGGCTTCATGTCTAGTGTGTAGTTTTAGTAATTTTAAGCCTCTTATGCAATATGGACATTGCAGAGGCTATTAGTTGTTATATTTTTCAGAATCAGATGCAGCAATTTGGTAAGGAACATAGGTAGAAGAGATCACTAATTTTCCTTTTCCCCCAATAAACTATTGTTATCAAGCCAATTTTAATTACCATGCAATCTAATGAATTTAAGGCTTATATTTTCCACATCACTAGACATCATAAACATGAAAGCATTTTATACTGTCATTATACATCAATGTTTGTACTTGGTTATAGATATATACAGAAATTATTCACATGTCTTAACCTTGCTATTTCCTCTTTTCAAACTAACATACTTTTACCATGAAAGCAGCTTTTTAATAAATGGTTATAAGAAATACAAGCAAGGCACACTTTTTAAAATAAAAAAACACAACTTTTTTCTCATTACCACCTAAAGAAGCATTGAGAAACAAAATGTTTTACATATTTTAATAGTTGAATGTCACCAGTTCATAATACACAACACTGTTAGAGTTGTTTCTTGAAGTGCTGCATAGATCATTATTTAAATGAAATAAATAGATAGCGCTTTAAAAAGTCGCTTAATTTTGAAAGAAGAACCAGTGTTCTCTATGCCACAATCAAATGAATTGTTTGCTTTTTAGGTAAACCTCTTGCAATAGACATAGGTATCATACTATTAAAAAAAAATCTAGGATACATGAAATTGGTCAAGTACTGGCAGGAAGGGATCGGGAGTCATTCCAGACAGTGAATTTAATAGGCCATCAATTTTGGTGAAGTATAGACCTTTAAGGAGCAGATAGGAAAGGGGAGAAGTGGGCTGACAGAGGTAGTTTGGGACAGGAATCCATGGGAGAACAAGCAGCTTCGTTGAACTTCAAAGATGATCACCTAAATAGAACCATTTGCAGACATCCAGATCACAAAGCCCACGTGGACAAACGGCATTCAGAAGGAAGATTCATCTTAGGAAAGTCAATGGGACAAACGGCAGTGACAACAGGATGGAATCAGAGACCAGTCCAGGGCTGGAGGTTACAGCCAGGAGCCCCAGGTTAGAGCCAGGCTATCTAAAAGAAACAAAGAAGGGACAAGTAAGGTTTCAGAAGTGTCTTCATTTGCAAAACTAAGTCCTTTAAGCACCATGAATGAAGGGGGCTAACATTTGGGGATTACTTGCTAATGTTCTGTAAAGAAGGAATTTATAAAATACAAGTCATGAATTTAATAGCTTAAAGTTTACATTACTTACAAACATATTTCATTATAGTTGTGAAGAATACATTGCCTTTAAAGATGTAGTGCTAAAGAAAACAAGAAAAATGAAGTTTGACCTTTGCTCTGGGCCATCCACTTCTTTGTGTTTGAACTCAGCTTTAAACACTCCAGATAAGTTCAAGTTTGTATGAAACTTGGAGTAGCTGATATCAAGTGACACAGCCAGGTATAAACAATGATGCACAGATTGAGAGCCTTAGCTCCTGGTTCTGACCTTTCCCTTAGTGACTTTTTTTTTTGGGGGGTTCGGTCATGGGGCCTAAACTCTGGGCCTGGGCGCTGTCCCTCATCTCTTCAAGGCTAGCGCTCTACCACTTGAGCCACAGCGCCACTTCCGGCTTTTTTCTTTTTGTTTATGTGGTGCTGAGGAATCGAACCCAGGGCCTCATGCATGCCAAGCAAGCGCTCTACCACTGAGCCATCTTCCCAGCCCCCCCTCAGTGACTTTATGTGTAGTATCGAACAACTGCCCTATTATATGATACTGAAATATTCATAACATTGTTATAATCCTAAATGTTCCCATCCTTGACTATAAAAAGGGATAATTATGATTTCTAGCTCAAATACTAATGTGTTACATTTAAGGTAAGACTTCTCTGTGGAACTGAAACCAATTCAATTATTTTGGTACATCTGATGGCTTAAATAAATTTGTTCCAAACTCAGTCTGTTCTGCTTATTTCTAAATGGCTAAAATTAATTGGTCAAATGTGAGGAATATTTAAATGACAGGTTTGGGCAATGCAGGATGCAATTGTGTTAGGTCTTCAACTCTCAACTAAGGCAAGGTTTTGCTCACTGTGGTTTAAACTGCTTCAGGAGTGTGATATTAGACCATTTTTTTTTTTACCCATCTAAAACCAGATATTCTCATTCTTGCTAGCTTACTGTGTTTTTTCTACTCACTTGCAATACCTTATAAGAGAAAAAAAACATTTAACAAAATGTGGTCTGGCTGAAACCATAGGAAGTTTGGGAGAGAAGAAAAGTTAGCAGAATAGGGGAGATGGACAGAAACAGATGGAACAAAATTTGGCACAGTAAAATAATGTAGTAATTCAAGAAAGCATGCTGCATTGTTCAAATGTTGAGGACATGATTCATCTGAAATCTGGCTTCTGAGTAGGAAATCCTAAGGTGAGGCAAATCTGGTTTTACTGAAAGCTGGCATTCAATTCTCTCTGGATAATCAATTCTTTCAACTTGGCCCACTTGGAAATAGACGAACCTGGCTGAGGCACAAATTCAGAGTGTGTGTGTATATGTGTGTGTGTTTATCTGTGTATAAGAGAGAAAGAGAAAGACTATGTTGAAAAAAATCTTTGTTATTTAGCATGGCAAGGCTAAGTTGTTCAGAAATGCTGGATAATTAAAACACACAACATAACCTTGATTTATTAAAGTAGTTTTAAAAGTAAATTTTATAAAACGTCTAATGACCTATTAATATACAATCCCCAAAGGTAGTTTCTTAAACATGCTTGGCCAGCATTGAGAAAGACCACTCAGTGTGAATCCACTTAAGAGACTGAGAATCCATGTTGTGTACATGAGCAATGTTTGCTCTTGTAGCTTTCTCAGTTTGTAAAACCTGAGCAACAACACTCTGAACGGAATCTGTGTGTGTTCGAGCCTACAGAAATAAAAACAATTGTGTAAAATCGAAAAGTCTGTGGGCTAACAACTATCACATTTACAGACCAATAAAGTAGGCAAAGCAAACTAAAAATGTCTAATGGAAATAAATGCATCTAAGTCAATATAACCCACTCTACCCGCACCACACACACACATACACACATCTAAGTAAATATAACCCACTCTACCCCCCCCACGCTAAGACCCCAAAACATCATCATCAAAGCAAACCAAAAGGAAAAGAAAAACTGTTCACCCTAGCTGCATGTGATGAGTTAATTTTTTTATACCATAGGATTTATCCAGCCTGAAGTTTAGGGTTAAACCATTCATCAAAGATCAGAGGCTTATGATGAGGATTATGAAGAAATAACTGTCAGAATACAGCAAAAAGATTAGTGCAAAGTACATCTCTTAGGCAGGTCCTAGGAGGCACTCCAGACATACATTATGTGCTTCCTCCAAATTAGGCAGAGAGAGCTGGATCTATCCAGTTACCTTGCCTTTGAAGTGATTTGCTGTAACTGACCTCTCTATTTTTATAGAAACATGACACATAAATGAAAATAGTGAAAAGCACAGCAGTTTGTCTGGAAGTTGTGCAAATGCATACTGTTAGATCACGTTAAAGCTTCCCAAACAGTTTCAGCAGGTTTTTAATTAGAACGTGGTCAATAAAACCCTTTTAAAATTTTGGGGAAAAGATTTATGACTGTATTAGAAGACAGTATTCTCAATTCCAACTGGTATTTCTTCTTGATGGAATTGTAATCATTTCGTCATCTGAGAACTTATATCTAGAAAAAAGCCTAACCAATTGCATATGGTGGATTTTATTGTCCTGAGAAAAACAGTACCCCAACTGATGGCTTCAAATCAAATGGCTTTAAAAAGCCCTGCCTTTGCTGTTGTTTTTCTTGAATATCCTTGGTAGAATAATGATAGCAGTTAAGATACAACAACTTTACTTTGTATCTTTGAGATCAAATACTGAAGGCCTGGCAACCATTTCAGATTAAATAACTTGTCCAAGTGATGCTAATAATATGTGAATATTTACTCCCGAGTATCTGATGCTAATGACTGAATAGGACTAGTAAGTATAGCTACTTAAATAGTTCTAGTCACTTGGGGGCAATGTGAATGCTACAGAAGTAACATTGGTCATTTCTCCCTTTGTCCAAGATGTCTACACATCATGAGGGCTCAACAAAATCTTGCTGACCAGCAGGCAGTAGGCAGTCCAGCTGATACTTTTAGACCATCTCTTCTTGTAAATGTGAGCATTACATAGATCCATCAGCACATTCACATCCCTCAAGTCTAAGATTGAGCAGCTCATCATTTACATTTAATTTCAATTCTATTTCTCTGTAAGGGAGAGAAGAAACTCTCCAAGGATCAAAAAAGAAGAATGCATCCTAGATGCTGCTCCAGTACCAAAGCTTCTCAGTTCTGGATCTCAGCATGACTGGTGACTTGAGGGTCACAGTCACATGATGTCACGCTCAGAGTGGTGTTGCTTTCAAGCTTTTATCCCCTTTCAGAAAACAAAATCAGCCAGGCTCTACCAGCCCTTCTGCAGAGGTTGGCAAGGCCCACAGTACAATCAGTTCTAATAGAACTTGTTTTGAAGCGGCTTATGGAATTGCAGTTTCTCTCACTTAATGGTCAGTTTTACTGCATACTGATAGCGAATGTGATTATAGGGTGGATACAACTCACAGAAAATACATTTCTCTCTCTCCTACTTTTGTTCCCTCTTGCAGCCAATTGTAAATAGAATCTAAAACACAGAAAATTAGTTGAGCAATATTAGCAAGTAGATGCCTTTCTTCAACTTTGCATACTGAGTTTATTTTTAGGGTATATGGATGGTATAGATTTCCCCCCTCGCTCCCCATTTCTAGCAGCTCCACGCAGAATCACACATTTTAATGAGCTCGGGGCACAGGTGTTGCAGGAAAAAAATAATGATGTTTGCCATTCATCTTTCAAATTAAATAATGTGTTTTTAAATAGTAACTTTTTTCATAATACATTATGGGAACAACATTTATCTGTCACATTTTAAAAGATGTATTTGTAATAAATGTAAATTACTTTTAGAAAATCAGTAATTAGGCTCATCAAAAAATAAACAATCTGCCACAAAAAAGATAATCTTTAGCATAGTTAAGTATAATAACTGTTATTTGAATAAGTTAACAAATTAGGGTAGATTGCTTCTGTAATTCATTTCCTATAGCACGAGTTTAGGTTACGGCATTAGGCCTCTGGAGTGGGGGTGGAGATGGCACTAAGCACCTCACACCTTGGTGAAATGCAACTCTCACGTTTGAAAGCTCAAATGTTCTTCTTAAAACTTGATTGAGAAAGTATATTCATCACTGGGGTTTAGGAATGGGAAATAAGAAAATCTTTGTGTCGCTTTCAGAGAGACATCATCATCTCAGAATTATCAATCAATAGCTGTCTTATTTAATATGAAGAATGGAATGACTTTTTTAAAAAAATTGATGGAAATCAGCCTGTCTCCTTTAGGCAAAATTCAAAAATTCTGTTTTGATCAAGACGCCATTAACTTGTCATGTATTCTCTCTGCATTGGCTTTCTGGGCCTGTTCTCCCTCTGTGTGTGGATAAATAAGAGCCTCTTCTTTAACATCAACTTTCCCCTCCTATTTGAATTCCCAGACATGGCCGTGATTAGGAACGGTGACAGCACTGCCTTACACTGGGGAAGCAAACGTGATGATAGTTACATCAGACAGAAGCATAAAAGGGAGGCCCAAATCAGAAGACAGAGCCTTTAGCCTAATCATTGTTTGTCTTCAGGCATTGAAGGGGATGGCTGGGCAGCCAGAACTGAAGTGGGCACTGTTGCTACTACGCATGCATTCTGATCACCAAGTGTAAGTGCAACTTGGATAACCCTTTTCTTCCCTCCTTTGGTGGAAGAATTTGCAGCCCTAAATTGCTCTTCTACTTTCTCAAATTTTGTATTCCTGCCAGAATGATGGAGTAAAGATATTGTCACTAAAAATGTCAGTTTTTAAACTGTTTTGTCCTTTCTGCTGCACAGTTACTTTCCTTATTGAGAGTATTTCTCCTATCTCACTAACTTGTTTGGATAAACACGTGCCATGACTGGTCATTCTGCCTAGTCTTTTCTTCTATTGTGCTTTCGTGGGTACAGACTCATATTAAAAGTATACATATCACGCAAAGACTTATACATACCTTTCAATGAGATGATTTTCATGCTTGTAGGGGTGTTACATTCTACCTATGCATATTTTTATGATGTTCTTCTTGTATGCTTAGAAGATTTTCTTTACAGGTTAAAGCTTGGGGGCTGGGATGTAGCACAGCCTTGTCTTTTGGCTGACTTGCCTTCAAGGAGAGGTCAAGAACACTAGATTTGGCTGAAGCAGTGTCATGTTCTGGCATTCCTGAAACATCTGGATTTCCTGAACTTTCTTTTTCACTCCCCACCCCTGAAGGAGTAATTATTGAATATTCTGCACAGCCTTGGGAGGATTGGGACCAATCATCTACTTCCCTTCTGATGTCAGCTTCTTCCTGAGGGGGAGGTCTTGAAAGAGGCACCACATGGGCATCATCAGCTAGGAGAGAAATATCATTGAACATAGAAGAGCTTGCCATTGCTTGTGCTGACCCGGTAGCTTCATTGGGAACCGCAGCTTCCTTTGGAGAAGCACTAGAGAAACAGGGTTCCTCTCCATTAGGCTCATCCTCAACACAGGCCTCAAAGAAATATTCAATGTCTTCTTTGTCATCTAAGCCCGAGTCGGTTGCGTCTAACGGCAATGGAGTATTGCTTTTCTCATCTATGTAATTGGTAACCTCCCCACAATCACTGTCATGAGATGAAAGAGACAAGTAGGAATAAAAGTCCCCCTTTCTTAGCTGGATGGGCCGGTGAGAATGTTCTAACACTTTCTCCTTGATCTGAGTTAATGAAGTGGGAGCAGCTACCTCATTTTCAGGTTGAGATTTGCTTTTTAGGGCTGTTGAAGCCATGTCAATGATTTCCTTCACAAAGTCATGTACTGAGCAATCTTCAGCATCTTTTTGAAGGAAAACATCTGGTTCACAGTCACAACAGGAAGCATTGTCGCTGATAGAAGCATTTTCCTCTGTTTCATTTTGTTCAAGTGCTAGGCAGCAACTAGCAGATTTTCCAGCCACACTTGGCACATCATTAGATGAAGATTTCCGTATATCACTGTCTTGTCTGCTGTTAACTCTGGTTTCTAAAGCCATTTCTGGGCAAGACTTCTCAATAGGAGTGCAATCAGCACTTTGATTTTCAAAATGGTGGTGATTTGGACATTTCTTTGGAAGATGTCTAGCATTTTCTGGAACAAATTCCTTTCTAGCAATATTTGAATCATCTGAGCCATCCACAAATGTTTTACACATACAATACTCACTTTCTGAAATCTTTTCCTCATTTGAACCAAGATTCTCTGATGTCTTCGAATTCTCATTCAGTTTAGCCTTTTGCTTTTCTGGAACACTTTCAACATTGCCATTTTCCATGTCTGCTACATATGGATCCTTACTAACTTTGAAAATATTTTTCTTATTTTCACCTTTAGTCTCAAACTCATGAGTATGGGACGAATTCTTACCATTTCCATTGTTTTCGGAAAGACATTTTATGGAGCTGTTTAGAAGCGCCTCAATGTTGAGGGTATCAGAGGGCTTAGTCACCTCAGTACTGCTCCCATCTTTACTGCCCTTCATATTATTGCTGAAGTTGCACCGTTTCTTATCTCTTGTCATGAAAAGTTTTGGCCTAATCCAGGTCTGCAATTCATTCTTTATATAGTCCAGTCCTGACATCAAGTTACATTCTTCATAAATTTCATCATCAGTTGCAATACTGGAGTCATCATCCTCATCTTTAATACACAGTTCCTCTTCCGTCAACGTGAGTGTAGAGCTGGAGAGCAGGTCACTGTCATCTTCATCATCAGTGCAAGCAGAGGTGCAGGAGACATTAACGATCATGCTGACATTGACATCACTTTCCTCAGCCACTGAACGATTCAGGCGCTTCCTGAAGGATGAATTTGATTCCGGGATCTTGTTCTTGTGCAACACAATATCCTCTGAGCAAAGAGAAAGCTCATCACTGCTACTAAGTTCTGTAAGAGATGCTGCTGAATCTTCATTGATAGAAGATGCTATGTCCAATGACATCTGGCCAGCAAAGGCCATCTTTTGAGAACTGCTTTGGAGAGTGATGTCAGAGACACTTCTCTTTATCTTTTGCTCTGAAGGGCTCTGGATATTCTCCAAACGATTCAGAAGATCTAGTGTCCTTTTACTCAGTTCACCAACAGAGCCACTGCTCACACTTAAGTCCCCAGAGCTGTGACAGCTAAAAAGATCTTCATTGCTTTTATAGGATGTCAACCAACTTTCTAAAGAAGTACTTCTCTGGAGGTTGTCACTGCCATTTTTAAAGACGCCCAATCCAAATAAATCACCCCCTGGAGAAAGGGACTCAACAGATGAACTACGAGATAAAAGGCAGAGCGGTTTGGCAGTCTGAATGCCGGCAAATGTCTTCTCTATATTGGTACTTTTATAGGAATTGCGATCCAATTCATGGGGTGCACTTGCCAAAATCCTTTCGTGGGGAGGAGCATCTGGTTGTAGCTCTGAAGTCTGATGTTTAGATTTGCAGGATTTTTTGTCAAAGTAAAAACCATGAAGAAGGGGATCCTCCACATGTGCCTTTTCATTTTGTGACTGTTTCATTATCATTGGTAATTTGAGTTTTGAGCCTTGGAGGTATGAGTAATCATAAAATGTAAACACATCATGTTTTCCTTGTAATTCTTCTCCCAAACAATCAGGGGTATGTTTGGTAACACTGTTTAAATCTCCAGCTTTTCCATTTACACAACCCAATGGTGAGATGGATGATTGAGAGTTATTTGGAAGCTTAATGCATTCCTCTTCATCTTTAACTTGTTGCTTTAACATGTTAACTGCAACCCCCAGTTTTGGGTCCAGATGTTTGGTTTCAAGGTTACTCAGGGACCCATCTACCACACTGAGCAAGCACAGTTCAGAGTTGGTAGTTGTTTCCGTGTCTCCTTCACTGACAATTCCACTCTCACTGCCAGAATTCTGGCTCATGTCTCTACTGAGGCACAGGCAGGGCTTCCCCAAACTGGAACCCCCTAAAAGATCAGGCAAAGATTTTGTAGATGAAAACGAAGAGTCTTTACTGAGACTCTTAGTCAAAACACCACTTTGTGTCATGCCAATGAACTTTTGATTGTTCTTCAGAAATGGCATATGGCTGTCTTCACAGAGTTCAATGTTGTGAAGGCTGTATACTTGGTAAATGGGTGGACTGGAGGGTGCAGCAACGTTTGAGGTATGTTGAGATTCTCCATGGTCACTTGCTTCCTCCTCATAACCACGGTCTTCATTGCCTGTCTCTTCAAGCTTCAATGAAGGCATGACAGGCTGGAGTTTTAGATCTGGGTCGTTTAATTCTTCATTCAAACTAATTAACTTGTTATTTATATCTGTTTCATCCCATTCCAAGGCATCCTCACTCATCCCATTTAGGTCCATCAAACCAGGTTCGATAACATTCAATGTCTCCTGTGTGGAGGGAAAAAAGAAAATAAGAATGAGTGAACACAGCAGAAAAAATTTCCTCAAAATCTCTTGGGAGAGTCAGGAAATAAAACTCTCTTAAGCATGAATTTCAAAGACAGGAGAATTATCAACACTTTTCCTCTCTGATATAGCATCTAAAATTATGAGACGGAATTTTATTTCAATAGTAACTTGTCAATGAAGGCAATAACATAGATTAAAATTTAAGATTATTATAGTCAGACAGTAATCTGTGGAATTAACCATTTCCTATTGATTGTTGTACACTGTAAATCTTAAATAGGGTGAAGACAAAAGTGTAAGGTGCATGAAGGTGAAGCGTAGTTTGGAATCTCTCTCAAGTCCTGTGTACACGTAGCCTACTGTAGTTCCTGTGTCCATGCTGGAATACTATCTGCAGCCACCTGCGACAAATTCCTTCTTTCCCCAACTCTTGGCTTCTGTACTTGAAACACCTTTAGTCTGGGGTCTTAGAATAGAGTTGTAGCCACTATATAGAGTCATTTGTGATCCAGAGGACCTTTACTGTATATTCCTTTCCCTTTCAGAGGTCTGCCCCTTCAGCACTTGGCCTTGCTTCCAGTCAGACTCAAGATGAGAAACATCTTGAGCTTCCACAACATGGTTTCCTCATCTACCTTGAGCATCAAAGAACAATCATTTCATTGTTGTTCCCCAGGCCTTCTCTTTCCCACTCTTCATCTGTGTCAGAGATTTCACTTTCATTCTCACTAACTAAACTCACAGTTTGCCTCTATTTCTCACAGGCAGAGTCTCTTCTTCCAACTTTCCTCCTGCCTCAGAATAATAACTGTCTGAAGATTTTCCTGACTCCCAAGGATATAGTAACTTAGGTGCTCTTACAGTATTATCTGCCTGTCCATTTGAGACTCTTGATATTTCTTTGGACTTCTTGCTTTGACTCTTGTTTGGGTAGAAATTGTTGCATTCTGGGACAGTAGCTAGATGAGTCCCTAGGTCCTATCAAGATTCCTTCACTATCCTTACTGGCTACCAGCTATCTGGATTCATGCTGCAGTTGAGAAAGGTGATGAATGTATTGTCAGCCTCAATAGGCCCACCTACAGACACAAATACAAACAGCTTATGCTGGACAGTTAGATGGATGAGCATGGCTTTTGAACTAGCAGACTGGTTGAAGTATTTGTTGCTGCTTACCAGCATCACAATATTGGACAAGTTTTTTCTAAGTACCAATTTTATCACCTGAGAGGGGAGAGAAAACTATCTTTTAAGTTAATACTAAGTATTAGATGAAAATTGTGGAAATGCCGAGGCAGTCAATATTAGATAGCTGTAATTGTTACATATAATTGCTCTCCAGAGGCCCTGAGTCACTTTATAAAGAGTTCTATTTCATTTGTCCCTTCTTACCATCCCTTTGAAACTGTTATTAAAACCAAAAAGATTAGGTAGAGACATGATAAATAGAAAGAGATGTCACAACAATAATAGTTTGCTTTTTGTCATTGTAAGTTCAAATAATTTCAAATGTCTAGCCAGAAAACAGTCTATGATGCTTTTATGCCATAATCATAGGAAGAAAGATTCACCAGGAGCACATTAGTGGGACTGTCCCAAAGCTCTCAGTGCTGTCTTAAACTCATCGTTAAAGCACACTACACAAGCACATTAAGTATAAAATACCCATTAGTGCTTTATTATACTGGGTATGTAAGAGATTATCTGCACAGCTTGCTTAAGTGTAAAAGAGTCCCGTTACAAAACAAACATTAATTAAAAGATAGTTTTTAATTTTCTAACAGAAATCTTTCCTGCTGCCAATGTTGCCGCAGTTAATCTAGTATACCAGCAGCCATCACAGTAACTTAGATAGGGAGTGCATTTACTGTGATGAATTTTTATTAGAATTTCTGTTTATTCTTTGCTTGCTGATAAAGGAAAGGACTAATGACCAGTTTATATGGCTAATGAATGTTAAAATCTTCAGCTGTAGGAACAATCAATCAGTCTAATCAAATAGTATATTAATTTCAAATACTGTCTTGCCTGAGACCATATTCTGACAGTGCTAATAAACAATTGCACTAGGCTTTCAAAGGAGTTCTCTCTGTGACTCTTTGGTTGACTGTACATTTTCTAGGAGGAAACTTGGAGACTCCAGTGGAGATGCACTGGGTATACTGCCTAGGTGTGCTGGGAAGCTAAGTCGAGGTGATTTCTTTAACTCAAACTTGTCTTCCACGACACCATCATGATTAAATTCATCCTTTATGACCTTCCAATCCTTACAAAGGCACCTGAAAGAGTAAATCCTTTACTCAATAAAGTACTTGGAATGGAAAACTTTCATAAGAAAAGATTAGATTTAGGGATATAAAAATTCTTTTTTTGGTGGGGGGTCCGGTGGGAGAGCCTGAACTGTGGGCCTGGGCGCTGTCCCTCAGCTCTTCAGCTCAAGGCTAGTGCTCTACCACTTGAGCCACAGCGCCACTTCTGGCTTTTTTCTTTTTGCTTATGTGGTGCTGAGGAATTTAACCCAGGGCCTCATGCATGCAAGGCAAGCGCTCTACCACTGAGCCACCTTCCCAGCCCCAGGGATATAAAAATTCTTTAGAAAGCAGACTGTTGATATATAGTCTTGGTGGGCCTGGAACTTACTAACTAGCCCAGGATAGCCTCCAACTCAAGATCTTCCGGATGCAACAACTTTTTTTTGAGGTCCTCCTCAACCCTCTTTTCCATTAAAGTTCTTAATGATTTCTTTAAAAAATGTTCACATGTCCATGGACTCTCTAACAGTGTCCGTAAGAAAATCATTCACTCAAGAATCACATTTTTGAATCTTAAAAATGTGCTTCTCATGCTTCCAACCTTCTCCTGTTTTAACAAGGCACTGAACACTCTCAAGAGTCTGAGCACTGTCTTTGAGCTTTTGTGCTCCAGGCTACCACTTTATCACTTGAGCTACAGCTCCACTGATAGCTTTGTGGTAGTTAAAGATTTTTTTTCCCCCCCCGAACTGGCTTTGAATCCTGATCATCAGATCTCTAACTCCTGAGTAGCTAGGATTACAGGTAGGAGCCAAAGGCACCAGGGTCCCTAATCCTTTCCCAAGATCTCTATCCTCTCTATTTTGCCCAGCATTATAGATTCCAAAGAGAAGCCCCACTAAAATGGTGATGAGGTTAACTGTTAAATAGTTCTTTAGATTTACAGGACTCAGAATGTCTATGTAACCCCCTCCCCTAGTTTTTAGTTCAATAGATATGTCTATCTAGAAACTGTAGAATAAGCCTCAGAAAGTTAAGATCTATTCCAAGGTTCCAGACAAAAGGATAAAGAAGATACAAAGGTGTAAAGACCCCCCTTTCAGTACAACGCATGCCTACTTGGATCCTCCTATCCTTCCCTATAAATGCTCTCAAAGATGGAGCTTTGGAGGAGATAGCCCCTTCATTTTTACATATGGCTTTAAATAATCCAGTTTGTATCAACTCTTGGGAGAATTGTTGGTCTTTGACTTGAAGATAGCCTAGATCTTTATTCTGGTAACATCTTTTTGCTTTGGGTTAAACTCTGGCAGTATTTTAAATACAATTTCCAATGCCTTAACTAGAAGGTATACTTCCCAGGCAAGAAAGTGGTAAAAGTTTCTAAGAGGAAAGATGGGAAAGTCTTTTATTTTTTAATTGCCTTTAGCAAAAAGATAAGCACACAAAAAAAATGTAACTCATGGGAAACTGGTAAATAACTAATGATAGCTCAACATTACCAATAATTTTAGCTAATTGAACATGTGGGTTTTTTCCTTTTTTGAAAAATTTTTATTGTAAAGGTTACGGTTCCATAAGTCAGGTATTGAGTACATTTCTTTTTGAACAATGTTATTCCCTCCCTCATCTCCCAGTTTTTTTCTTTCTTGACCCCCACCACCACCCTGACAAATTGTATAGTATCACTGCTGAATAGTTCACCTTTTGTCCTACCTGTGCTTCTCTTTCCCCTACCCAAATCAGATAAACTTACATACAAAGGTACACAAGTAAAAACAAAAGGGGGGAAACAGAAAAAAAATTGGTTTATGTTTCTATAGTTTTCCTATAAAAGAATTCCTTGGTACTATTCATTCAGTGGTACTGGAATTTGAACTCAGAGCATTATACTTTGTAGGTACAAATGCTAATATGCGGGCCATGTCCCTAGTTCTTTTTGCTTTATTGTTCAGAGTAGCAATTTTTTTTTTTTGCTAGGGGAGGGGGTTAACTTGAACCATGATCTTCCTATCTATGGATGCAAAATAGGATTACATGTGCACACCACCATATTTGATTTGTTTTGTTAGGATGGAGTTTCCCTAACTTTTTTTTCTTGAACTAATTCATAGAGTTGATGCTGTTTTTAAAAAGGCACAAATGTAGCTGAGCACCAGTGACTCACTCTGTAATCCTAACTACTTGAAACATTGAGATCTGAGGATTGTGGTTCAAAGCTAGACTGGAGAGAAAAGTCTGTGAGACTCCTGCCGCAAATTAACCAGCAAAAACCTGAAAGTGGAGCTGTGGCTCAAGTGGTGGTATAAGACCAAACTTGATGTGAACTCTGCTTTGAAGTCCTTGTAGAATTCCACTGTAAAACCATCTGGTCCTAGGCTTTTCTTAGATGGGAGGTCTCATTGCTGTTTCTATTTCAATGCTTGGTATGGGCCTGTTAGGATGGTTTAACTCATCTTGGTTTAGTTTTGGCATGTTGATATTTGCTAGAAAAAGGTCCATTTCTGCCGAGTTCTCAAACTTATTAGCATAAAGGTTTGAGAAGTAGTCCCTTATAATGTTCTGAATCTTGGTTGTTTCTGTGGTGATGTTTCCATTCTTATCTCTGAGTTTATTAATTTGGGTGTGTTCTCTTCTTTTTCTGATAAGATTTGCTAAGGGTCTGTCAATTTTGTTTATTTTTTCGAAGAACCAACTCTTTGTTTTGTTGATTCTTTCTTTGTTTTT